TATTGGCTGGTGAGAGTCTGCTAAACCTCGGCGGATACGATTGCCTGCCTTGTCAACTACTTGCCGACGGACGCGCCGAACGTGGCGATTGGCCGCAAGTGGATGACTTGCTTAGTTCTCAAGCGGGGGCCTTAGTGGCTGTTTCCTCCTCTTCTTCCTCACTGCCGAGAGACCTGCTGAGTGACGACTTGGAAAATAGCGGCAATTTCGGTCGCGCTCTCTTGCCAGCCCAAGGCGCCCTCTTTGTCACAAATTATCGTGTCATCTTCATTGGTGTACCCAAGGACCCCTACCGTAAGTTCTTGGGATTCCTGCCTGATCTGCTTTTGGATGAAACTAACAACAGCTGCAGTATGTTCTATAAACTGAGGACACTTTAAAATTATTTTTGCCTGCCTTCGCTTCTCCGACGCGGTTCTGACGCCTCGACTTTGTGGCATGTGGCAGACAGTGGCTCCGATGACGTGTGAAGTGAATGTAGTAATACTAGATGAGGGATTTTTACACAATCAGTCTGCTTTATGGTTACTGAGCCGGAAACTGGAGTCTTTTTGTGACTAGTTATCCAGAACACATTTTGAAATTGGGACGTTCTGTGATTGAAATGTGGCATAGGAAAATAAAACTTTACACTACTCCTGTGAGACTGAGCTGCGTTTGTATAATACAACTGTTATATAACCTCTGTCTGGAGCTGTGATTCAACTGGAATTATTAACCCCTATCCCGCGGAAATGCTGTATTTTCCTGATTCCGATTCATGCGTCTGAAAGTTGGACTTTGTGACTCTAGTCTTTCGTAAGCTTTTCTATTTTTATCTTACACACACTCAGGGGTTCAGTAAACTGCTAATACTTCTCAGAGTTAGGTCCACTGTAATAAAGGTTACTTTCTATACGTCGTGGCATCGAACGCTGCCAACCCTGGTGATAATTCAACCCCTAAGCGAATTGGAATTAACGGTGCAATAACTCCTACCTTATTGAGGCTGTCACAATAACCATTAACCTAGATATCCGAATTAAGTAATCTGGCTCACAGCTTTAGCTGTTCTTATCAAGTAGCGAACTATTAGGTGGTGCTTGGATTCCCCCTCCTTCTCACACTATTTGGTATTTTCACCCTCAGAATCGAATAAGGTTGTCTGCCGCAGTTTTCCCGTTGCCGCTCTGCACTCGGTAAAGAGGCTGGGCGCCCAGCGCATCACCACGGTTGTTCCAACCACCAGCGCCTTCGAGGCCAGCCCCTCGATGGCCAGTACTCGGACGGCCGGCAAATCGGGCAAGACAACTGGTAGTGGAAGCAAACGGAGTACACCGCGGCAGTCGGCCCAAGGCAGTACCGGTCATACCACAGGAGGA